GACCTGCGCTGCTGCCGGCCCCGCCCAGCAGCCAGGCCTCCCCAACACTCCCTGGCCGGACTGCATGGGCCTGGGGGCTGCTTGGAGTCTGTAACCCCGGTAGAGGGGCTTTTGGATTGGGACAGCAGGGACGTGTGCCGCGGAGGAAATTGGCTGTACGCCATGAGTTTTGTCCCTCTTCGGCTGCCGTCAGGGTGTGTGTGTGTGTCGGGGATAATGTGTAAGGGTGGGGGTGTTTAAAGGGCCGCTAACTCTGGGGTGGGGCCAGCACGTGGGGCACAGCTGGGTGGGGCCGCTGTAGGTGGCGCCCTTGTTAGAGGTAGGCGTGGGAAGAAGGATGGTGGTGCTGCCTAGAGATCAGGTGGGACTCATACAACCCCCTAGAGACTGTGGGAGTGGGTTGGACAAACAGAGAGGTTAGGGGCACATTTTATCTGAGACTGTAGCTTGTTGAGTTAGAGTTGAGCTTGAGCCCTTCTAGTATTCTATCTAGAAGAGGGCTCTAGCTATAGTACTAAATGCAGTGACTACCTTTTTTCTCTGCCTGGTTTCCTCTTGAAGCCTTCCTTCCCATCACTGTAGATGGTAAGGAGACAAAGAATTCCACTGTGCCATAGTGGCAAGTCACCAAAATGCAGTGGTTTTGGTTGAAGCAAAGGAACATCATGCTTGGAAAAGTGGAGGGAACGTCAAAGGAGGGGAAGACCCACAACGAGGTGGATTGATGTAATTGCAGTAAAGGGTTTGAGTGTGTCAGAGATTGTGAGTATGGCACAGGATAGGACAGGATTCAGATCTGTTGTCCTTAGGATTGCTATGAGTCCTACTTGGCTGTAAAAAACAACATGAACTCTGATTTATTCGTCTCTAAACAATCTTTTCTTCCTTAGAAAACTCTTCTTTCAACTAAATATAACACAATACAACACAACACAATACAATACAATTAGACTAGTAGTGGACTTTTTGATCTCGTGGCATCCTAAAATGTTTTTGCATAGTACAGCCATCTGTTTGAATTGGGATATATAGGCAGGCCTCTTTGCGGTTGTCAAAGGTAACTTGTGGCCCACCAGTTGTACTGGAACTTTGGGAGTTAAGTAGGATTTAAATAGAACTTAACAGGACACATCGAGCAGACCTATTTGTACTAATTCTACTCCACAGAAAAGCTTGAATCCCACGGACTTGCTCTTGTTTTTGCTTCTTTAGAATGCTGCACAGTTCTGTCACATAGTACCTTCCCTGAGGGCGTCCGTAAATAAATAAGCAAAACCCAGCAATTTCATGGTACAGACTGCCAGTCACAGATACCGAATGTTTGTGTCAATAATGTCAGGAAATCAAAAGTCATGTTGCACTGGGGAAATAATGCTGTCAAGGACCTCTTTAAATTGCTAAAGAGCAATGATGCCAGTTTAAAGACTAAGGTGCACCTGATCCAAGCCATGATATTTTCAGTTACTTTCTGTGCATCTGAAAGTTAGACAGTGAATAAGGGAACAGAAACAGAGTCAATGTCTTTGAAATTGTGGTGTTGGTGAAGAATACTGAATATTGCATAGACTGCCTACAGAACAAACAGATAACTTGGAGGAAGTGCAACCAGAGTGCTCCTTAGAGGCAAAGATAGTGAAATCAACTCACACGCTATGGACATGTTGTCAGGAGGGGTCAACCCTTGGAAAAAAACCATTATGTTAAGACAGGTAGAGGGTCAGCAAAAGAGAAGAGAAGCTTCCGTGAGATACATTAACACAGTGAGTGCAACAATGGGCTTGCGTATGCTGGAGATAGTGAGGATGGCCTGGAAAGGTTCAAGTCAACTCAGAATCAACTAACAATAACAACATGTGCAATGTCATGTGTCTGATACTGTGGTCTAAAGAAGCAAACAAAAAAGGTTTAGTATGTGATCTTAATAGCTATTTTTTTACATTTCTATTTTTAAAGCCAGTGCCGGGGTATCAGTTCCAGAACATAGCAAACCATGTGTTACAAAGCAGAGCTACTCTATATAGTTTTTCTAGCTCTGTTGTTTCTGGAAACAGACCATAAGGCCTTTCTTTCATTGAGCTGCTGGTTAGGTTTGAACTGCCAACCTTTAGATTAGTAGTTGAGAGCTAAATAATTTGTGCCACTCAAATACCTTTCAAAGCCAATAGCTGCTTCTTCTTTTTTAAAGTTATTGACTATTTCTAGTCTAAATGTGAAATACTCTTAATAGGCCGAAGTAGGTCAGCCAGTTAAGTTTTGCTGCTGCTGTTGGGTTGAAAGCAAAGAATGTCTATTTATCCATTATTGACTATGCAAAGGTACTTGACTATATAGATCATAACAAATTATGACAACATTGAGAACAATGGCGATCCTTGAACATTTATTTATGCTTATGCAAAACCTATACTTAGACCAAAAAAGAGGCTGTTGTGGGAACAGAGCAAAGGGACATTACATGGTTTAAAATGAATAAAGGTGTACGTCAGGGTGGTATTCTATCTGTATGTATGCTAAGCAAGTAATTCCAGAAGTTTGACTCTGAAGAAGAATGTGGCATCAGGATCAGAGGAAGGCTTTTCAATAACCTACATTATGCACATGACACAACTTTGCTTGCTGAAAGCGAGTAAGACATGAAGCACTTGTTGCAGAAATCCAAGACTACAGTCTTCAGTATAGATTGCATCATACTCCCAAGAAAACAAATAGGACTGCTTGAAGAGGGTAAACCAAATCTCTCCTTGCAGGCTAGGATTTTGAAGCTCAGCTTCACTTACTTTGGGCACGTGGCCAGAAGAGATCAGTCCCTGGAGAGGACATCGTGCTCAGAAGGATGGTCGGACAGCACGGGAGAGGGAGACCCTGGATGAGATGGACTGATACAGTAACTGGAGCGATGGGGGTTGGTGTGTTGGAATTAGTGAGACTGACTCAGGGCAGGGAAGGGTTCAGAGCTGCTGCACAAAGGGTCAGTATGCATTGCAGACAACTTAACCAATAACATTCTATAATGTTGGAAGCAGGAGTGGCATCCACTTCCTAAACAACTTTCCTCTGGAAATTCTATAAACTTTGATAAATGGCGATAGTTGTAGAGGGGCTTCAGGCCTTTTGTTCATAGAGTTGTTTTGTGTCGTACTCGACTCAAAGGCAATCAACAACAATAACAACAACATTGTCAAAAAAGCAAACAAAAAAAAAATCTCACCACTGGACCAATGGGCAACATCATAATAGATGGAGAAAAGATTGAAACTGTCAAAGACTTCATTATACTTGGATCCATAATCATCACTCTTGATACCATCAGTTTGGAGATCTAGAGATGGGCATTGAGTAAGTCTACAGTCAAGGACCTCTCTCAATTACTCAGGATCAATGATAAGTTTGAGGACTAAGGTGCATCTAATTCAGATAATGGTCTTTCTGATCGCTTGCTATGCATCTGAGAACTGGAAAATGAATAAAGATGACAGGATAATGGACTCCTTTGAGCTGTGGAGTTGGAGAAGAGTACTGATGGACTCCCAATAGAACAAATATGTGTCTTGGAGAAGGTGCAGCCAGAGTGCTCCTGGGAGGCAAAGAGGACAAAATTTTGTGTCACATACTTCGGGCATGTTTATAGGAGGGGCTATTCCTTGGAGAGGGACAGCATGCTTGGAAAGGTAGAGGGTAGGTGAAGGAGAGGAAGACCCTCAACCAAAGGGATTGGCAGTGACTGCCGCAGTGGGCTCAAGTATGTCAGAGATGGCACGGGATAGGACAAGATTTAAATCTGTTATTCATAGAGTCACTATGAGTCTTACTTGACAACACCTAACAACAAGTAATGAACTCTGACTTATATCACTCTGTCTCATTAAGTCTCCGTTGCACCTTGCCTTTTCCTTCACTCCCCCCACCCTCCTGAATCCACTCACTCATCCCTGCTATCCTCTTCATTTTTTCTCCCTTCTTTTCCACTGCTTGTTCCCTTCCTCTTTTGAACAGTTATCTATGGCTTGCTCCTATTTGCTAATTTCAATAGCCATATTGCCCTTATATTGATTCTTCCCAAGTTGCTCCTCCTTTGTCTTGGTCCCAACAGTGTTCATTGTCTGCACAGTCTCTCTCTATTCTCCCTCTCCCTCCTCCCTCCTCCAATCCCTCAGGTACCCTCCTGTTTTCACTCTAGTGGTTTTATGCAGTATTTGTCCTTTTGCAACTGAGTTATTATTTCATGCAATAAAGTGCCCTCTAAATTTTCCCATCTTGTATTGTCTTGATTCCTTGATTGTTGCTTCTGTGTTGCTTGTGGATCCACAGAAAATGAAATAACTGATGCCACTCTTTTCTCCATCTTCCATACCTATTGGTCCAGTTGTGAGGACTTTTGTTTTCTTGATTTTGAGATGTAATCCATATTGAAGTTCTTGGCTT